CCTCATACTCTTTCGCGTGTGTCCGCAATACCGCAGCCGGACGGGCAGAAAGTTTCAGGAGGAAAGCTAACCTTTACGACCAGTATCAAGGTGTGGGTTGGGTGTAACTGAAAACAGCGATACCCAAGATATTGTTAAGCTTTGTTAGCGAGAGTCTTCCTGGGCGCATTCAACAATAGAGTGCTCCTTCGCGAGGAGGTAGCGGCTCAGGGGGTGGGTGATTGCATGAAAGTCGTCATGATTACGGCCAATGCCCATCATTTCTAAGAGTTTACAAGAATTTAACCTGCGCCTGGGATGGACAATGACTTCCATCTGACAATATCTGCGCCTTCCGAGGTCCACAGTGCCTTTATAATACATTGCAGTGCATTTCTCTTAATCTCAACATCAGTGGTTATGCTGAGTTAGGGGGGGGAGTGATTACTTATACCGCCTTATCGCTGCGCTCACTAAAAGAAGCATTAAAATAATAATAAGGGATGGAATAATGAGGGATGAAGTCCCTCCTCAGGTTCTAGCCCATTTTCTTTTTTTTCTCCTTTCATGCATCACTAACCATCCCCCACTTGATCTGATGCGCTAAATTTCAATCGCAAAATCCGCTTTTGATGCCATCCTCAAGTAATCACCTTCCAATCACGTGAACCAGCATCCAAAACAGGTGGAAGCAGAGAAGAAGTCTCGTGTTGAAGTGCATGAGCTTCATGTTCCAAATCCTTTGCATCCAGTATATCAACAGCGGAATGGCAATAATGCAACATAAATCGCTGGTGAAGAGCGAAGTGATGAGGAACGGAGAACTGGCCATTTGCACCATAATTTCGCAGTCTTCAGAAGACGCATTCATCTGTAATGTCCGTCTGTTGTTTCGTTACATTTTACATTGGCTTGTAGTTTGAAGGTTCGCGTTCTGCGTCTCAGTAAAACCAGCAGCGGTTCAAGGTTTTGAAAACGACCACATATCGGAAGATGCAAACAATGCGATAAAAATCACCACTACCGTCAGGATCTGCGACAAGCTCGCAGGCCTTGCGCTATCAATGTTTTGCTAGAGCATGATTGTGATAACCCAGAACGGCTATATAAACACCTACTTAGCACACTTCGGTCATTCCACAAGGTGCTGTGGCAGCCGGAGAGCAGTGGAGGGAGGAGGGGAGGATGAGGAATGGGGAGAAGGAATGCCAGGTTCGCAGGGAAGGGAATTTCCGGCGGTTGCCGGGGGACCAATCTGGTATTGATAAAAATACCTCGAAGGCAGGGT